TCAGTATTTCAAATGATGTTATTTCTAGGTTTTGAGGGTCTGTAAATGTGCAGAAATGAAACAGTCTCACTTTAAAAGTTAACATCTTTGCTCACAGGTCCTTGTACAAGTCTTTATAACACTACTAAATTCGTGCATATAAAATGAAAAGCTGAGCTGACAATGTATAAAAAGGAAATCTTGTCACTGAAAACAGAAGGTTCATTGAAATGAAAAGTAAACACTACTGGTTTTAAGTTTTTGTTTGTACTGTCTGCTTTTGAACATAAATGCTGTCTATTCATATGTGAATAAAATGCAACAGTTTATGAACAAACAAGGATTACATGCAACATATTAAAGGTTTCTGAAGCTTTATTTCTTTGTGTTTTGATACAAGGTGAGGTCAAGGTGATGATGACCTCTTTCTGTTTTTCTGCAGATGTGAAGGCTTTGGAGACTTCAGAGAGTGACTGTAGAAAGGTTTGTAGCACTGTGAGGGTGAACATATTTCCTTTCTCACATATTCAGTTTGCAATCCTGCCTTTCATCCGAAGAAAGGTCCTTTCTTTCCCCTTCCATCTGTTACGGCTTATGTACAAAATCCACAGTAAGTGTGAAGGAAAGGGAAGAGTTTCCATTATATATTGCTACTTCATTCTGTTGTTGTGTGATATAGACCCTACTGTATTTTTTTACCTTCCTTTGGCCTCCATTTCTTCTGTTGTTATAGTCAACCATGCTCAGTCTTAGTCAAGAAATACATATTTTCCACAGGCAAAGATTTTTAAAGTATCTGGAACCTCATATTACCAATCTCCAGACAAGCCATGGTACCATATGTGATTAGCCTTTGTGATTAGACAGGGATTATTTAAAGCATTTTCTTAGATATTTGACATAGTTGCCATGTTCCTGGTTACATATATAAAGTGCCCAACAGCATTCCAGTTACCCATTCTAGATTATAGCAGTGCAATATGGATTAATATACACTCGTTATTGAGATGACCAGTCCGATGCACCTAGTCATGCTTGCTACCTGCTCTATTTTTCACAGTTGTGAGTTGGATAACGTAAATAATTTGTGCTGAAAGAAGGTTGTTTCTCAAGCCAGCTTCTTAAGGTCCCCTTTCAACTTGTGCTATCAGTGTCCTGATAGCCGCTTGGCTAATGCTTTGACTGATGGGCACTTTCGCTTTAGATTGCCTAACGATGAGATACAAGATCCCTCTTCCTCCTTTTAATCATGCTTCAGCTTGTTCCTTAGATCCCATTGCTCAGCAGCAGCAGTTAAATGATTCCAAGACACATCTGTGCAAACCAGTTGAAATCAGATCATCAGTAGGAACAAACTTCAAGATGAGTTGGTAATTTCCACAGAGCAACCTCAGCTGAATACTCAGCTGGGAAAGCAGTATACTTGGTTGTAAAGCTAAACTAGTCATAAACAAGTAAAGGAAAATAATGGTATCTTTACATTTCAGATACAACTGGAGGCTTAATGTATCATCATCTGTCAGAAATAACTGTTCAAGACTTACATGTTTATGTTACTACTACTACTACTTCTCTATTGTTGTAGCTGGTGAGTAAAACTGGGCTGAAGAATGAGTTATACCTTCTTATATACTCTTTAGTAAAGAAAGAAAAAGAGAGAACATGAAAGTATTGTAAGTAAATGTTAGGATTTTATTCTTAATTCTCATGTATATAAATTTAAAAGTGTCTTATCAAATAAGATTTAACAAATGTCATGAGCTCAGGGACACAGCAAGGAGATCCAAGAGAGGGTTTTCTACATTCTTAATTGACTAAACTTCAAGAAGTAGAAATCAAATCATCAGATATCAAGGACTGAACATTCAATTAGCTGCTATTCATATAGCCCAGTTTAAACTGAGACACTCAGCTGCAAAGCAGCATACTTGTCTGCAAATACGAACTTGTAGGCAAGTAATAGAATAGCAAATAGTGGAATAGAAAATCAGAGACTGGAGTCTCATATTTTTAAAAATTGCAATATATTCCTTTTCAATATCCAAGGATTTTTGTTTTGCTTGTTTCACCACAGCTAAGTTTGTATGTTTACTATGGTTATGATTTCCCTAGCAAAATCCATACATCAAGATTTTGAGGGGCTAGGAGACGGGAAGGATTTTTAAAAAATAGGCTTTCTTATTGTAAGTTTGGGGGGTAGAAGGAAAGGAAAGATACTGATTCATATGTTCAAGAATTTGAAACTGGGGGGGAAAAGTTGTCCAAAGAAAACTATTACCAAGGCAGGGAGGGAGAGAGAGAAGGAAGTGAGGCCAGGGGTGGGGAGAGAGGCAGACCATAAGAGAGACAGGGTCAGGGGCACAGGGTCTGTGAGAGAGAAACAGGGTGAGAAATAGAGTGAGAGAGGCAGCATGAAAGGCAGGAAAGGGGGAAAGAAAGTGGAAGAGAGGGAAAGAGAAAAGGAAGAAAGGGGATGGGTAGGGAGAAAGTTTGTGTAAGGAAGAGGGAAGGACAAGAGACAACTCATTTTCACTTTATTTATCTTGTTATGACTGAGAATGATTTCTGACATCTAATTAAAAATAAACATAACTTATGAAGAAAAACAAACTTTGTTCTCCTGCCATAACTTTTCCTATTTTTCTAAATTTATCTTAATTTTTAAAAACTCTCTCAAAACCAAAACTTTTCCCCTTTTTACCATCAGTGCCAACCAGACGTAATAACAACCCTTATACCAACTGCAAGGTTCTGTCAAGGAACTGATCTACCCTGTCAGAGGCAAATTCAAACTAGAGTACTGCAAAGTTGTGATATCAGTTTACTTCCAAAAACATATTTCCACCAGTAAGTAGGTCAATGAGTCCAAGTGCGACAGACATGGATCTTAATTTCTCTGACACACCTGCTACTGTGAAATGAGTGGCTATTTGGGTTCTGCTCCTTCAAGTGCTGTGATTTATTAAGCACAAAAGCAGTGTTTCTGTAAAATAAATGTATTTGAGAGTCATTAAGTATTAAGCTGGGATGAGAAGAATCAGCAGTTCTACTATAATTTGAACTGGAATACAGAAGCAATGAACAAGAAAGCAAGCAAAAAAAATAATCCCCACAGCCAAATTCCCAGTCCATCCCCCATTTGTCACCTCCTAAGGATTCAGTTTGCAAGAGGCAATTCATTATATGCATTGTGTGTACTAAATAAAATAATCTTTTCTAGCCACTTATTAAAAGGAAGATAGTGTTTTAATAGGGTGACATCATCTGCAGCACTTCAGCTGGGCTATGGCTGCTGTCTTTGAAAGAGTTTGATTTGGCTAATGACAGCAGTTTTTCTGAGATGCTAATTCTAAGCAGAACAAAGTAATTCCTCATGATGCCTTGCAGCACACAGTGTGGAATATGAATGGAGGCCCCAAAAATGTGATCAACATGGAATTAAGAGCCTCCACCAGAAAAAAACAAACAATCTGCAGGTGATCAACAGAGAGGTGAAGGGTTATTGAGTGCTTCCTTGTTGAGTTCTCACTAGCTCTGAGCAAGTGACTCTAACTTAAATGTCCATTAAATACTTTTTCATGAATATGATTGTTGCAGAAACTCTCAAATAAACAAATAACAATAAAAATAAAATTTATTTTTCAACATAATTAACCAACACTCCACAAACATACAGACAGCAGATTTAAAAGTCCATGAAAGGAGAACAAAAATATCACCCCAATTACTCCCAGGGTTTAAACAACACAAAATGCTCAATCACCCACCTAATAAAAGGTAAGGACTCTCAACCTTGAGGAACTTTTTAGCGTATCATCCCAATCCATAGGAACCTCAAGGAGTTTGCCTGGGTGGTGTCCCAGCCCAAGGGGAGAGTCCTTACTCCCCCAGGGGACTCCCTTTATACCCAAGCCGGATCTGATCTGTGGTCAAAACCAGCCCCAGTGGCTGAGGACCCCAACTACTGTAAAACCCTGAGAACAAGGGCACAGAAAAGGTTCAATAGTCAGGGAGTTAAATTTTCATCAGGTGGGTGCATCTACCACAATGATTTGTATATTCTTTTCTAAAGGGTTTCTCTGATCTGATTTTACAATATTTACTAGGCTGCAAAGAAAAATACATGCAAAACACCCTGAAAATGATAAAAGAATCATATCTTATTTTGATCTATTCTCATGTCAGAACATGGTTAATAAAGAATGAAAATGGGACAGTTTCTCTACCAATACTTTTTATCACCTTCCTTCATCTTTGTAAGCTGGTGCACAGGCTATTCTCAGAAGTTGTCCCAAATACAACGGTGCTACTGCTCTCCATGTCAATCCATCACAATAGCCTCTGAAGTGACCAGTGTGCAAGAGACACATGATGCTCTGGCAATAAAGCTCAGATTCCTGGCTATAGTTTATCAGCTCAATGTTGCTTTAACTTCCTCTTCTCTATGTTACTGGTAGGGGAAATGAAAAGGGTGTGGTGGTATAACAGGGTCTGTGACAGCATCCTACCACTCAGATCTTGCATCATGTTAACCAGAACAACTTAAAGCACAAAATAAACCCCACATAGGATCAACGTTTCATCTTTTCTTTTCTTTTTTTTTTTTTTTTTTGTATATATTATTTCAGCCAAATCTCCAGCCAGGAGGAATGTAAATTTTTGAAAGACATTGCTAGGAATCAAATATTTTCATTCCAGCAATAAGAAACACCAAGTCACAATGCATTCCAGTGAGTCTTACTAGAAAATATGGTTATTTTAAAAAACACATGAATGTCTGTGGTGTACAAACCTATTACACACTCATTGCCAAGCACCATGTTAGCCTGAGAGTATTTAGTGCCATCAGTGTTTAGTCCTGCAGTCCTCATCCAGGCACTTTTCAGAAGATATTAGCTGTCTCAGATTATCAGTACCAAGCCCTGTTCCTATAAGTGCATCCATGTCTAAAGTAATTCACACTGTGTGTAGACAGATCAAGGAATTTTCTAGGATTTGCCAAGGTCTCTGCATGTGGCTACTTCTACATAAGGTTTAGTTATAGCTTGTTTGTGTTTGGCTGATATCAGAAAAAAAATTCATTTGTTGCATTTTCCACAGTGGTTCCCAGGTGGTTTCCTGCAGAGTGACCACAGATCACAGGATTTCTTTTCTTGTAACAATTCAGTAACTGACAGGTCTCTCAAGGCCACTTCAGCTCAGCTCAACTAAGCTGAAAGACTACAATAATATTGCTAAGGGACAGCTCCACAGACCCAACACAGAGATGGACAAACCCAACTTCGCAGTTTGTCTCATTTCAAGCAAACTAAGATGCCAGAGCTGCAGCTGTCCCATTAAATTATATATATTTGAAAGTTATTGCCTTCTGAAAATTTGCATAAACATTCCATGCATATTTTGTAGAAAAACTGACAAAGCACATTTATGGAAATGTGGTATGAAATAACTGAATAATTTTTTGGGAAAAATGTATATGTAGGCCAATTATGATCACATTCACTTAGTTATACAAGAAAATGAATTAGAAAAATTATTATATGCATGTTATCTGCTCTTCAAGGACAAAACTTGTGGAACTACAAACACAAAACAGCATTTTAGATGAGAGACCCATTAAATCTGTTTTTCTAAGATCTTCAAAATAAAAGCAGAAGTTACAATTTCCTCAGTGATAAATGTTAAATATATATGTAACATATAAGGATTATCTTTTTGCCTTGTGCTTGTGGGTTTACATTGCTTCTTGAAAAAAATCAAACGTACATCTTTCTCCCTCACCCCATATTCTCTTATTTATGTTTAAAGTGAAGTTTTACAATAATAATTTTAATTACACACACAAACACACCCTAACCACACACCCCCCACACCCCCTACCCCCCTTTTTGGCATTTAGATAAGTACTGGTTTAAGTACTGGTTTATTAATTGTTCTTTAAATACTCAGACAAATGAGAAGCATGCCAAAGAAGTTGATATTTTTACAGTTCTTTAAAACCAAGGTTATTTTAAGTAGCACTTCAGTAAGAAGCTCTCTTTTCATTGAATTTGAAACATTTAAATAGATTAGTCATTTTTTTTTCTAATAGGTTGTGCTAAAAGTCAGTTCTGTCATAAAATCTGAAAAAAAAAAAAAAAAGCACATACTTTAAAAAGGACATAGATTTTACCTAAAATATGCATAAATGGACAGAATGTGTGCTTTCAATCCTGAGGTAGGGTAGCTGTACTGCTTCAGAAATGAACTACTACAACAGGAGGAAGAGTGTTCAACTGCCTGAAGATATTTTACTCTAAATATTGCGAACATGAGCACTCCTCTATCAGCAAGTTGACACATATCCCTGTTAACAAGGTTTCTGTTACATCCCTCCCAGGTGGACAGAAATGCAGGACTTGAATTTAATTGTCTAAAGCTGAAAATCAAAACACTGTCCAGCCAAAAAACAACTAATTGCATCTTACCTTCCTACTGGGTACAGATCCATATTGCTGTAACAAAGTAGAATACACACTGCTTAAAGAGATCTAGAGATGTTTTGTTCTGCAGCTGAGCAGAACTGGGAAAATATAATGATAGCTTTTTATTTAAATCTACTCTGACACTTTTGTCTGCAGTGAGTAGGACTTAGGTCAGAGAAAGATATCCAAACATTGGAAAAGAAGAGGGGTAAAGGACTAGGGCAAATGAGGTTGTAAAGAGAGACCCATCTTGCCTAGTATCTGGGAAAGTCAAAAGTATTGATGAAGAGTTTATTGACTTCTGAACATGAAATATTACCTTTGAAGAGGTGTTCTGTCATTTCTCAGGCAATTTGATAAATTTCATAATGGTACTTTGCTAAATAAAGCTAATAGCTCAGAAAACTAGTAGAACTTCTACTACCCCAGGTTGCTAAGGCTCTTCTTTCAGGGATACAGTCACCTACACTTTCTCTGGTTTACCTCTATGGATGAAAAATTGTTGGCAACATACATCTGGAACTGCATCACAGGCCAGGTCAGACATCCATCCTGTTAAGCAATATGAATTACTGCAAAGCTCCGATGCAGTAACCAAATGCTTTAAAACATTAGTCCCTAACTTCCAGTTACTTCTGCACAGTAATAAAGCTCAAGCAATAACCTGTGCTTTTCAGTAAATCTAGCTTACATCCATGTAAACTCACAAGGACAGACCATTGTTTGAGGACTCTGGGCAATTGCTTTAAAAGAAAGGGCAAGAACTTGGCCACTGAAAAATAACAGAATTGCTTACCCATTTCTTCTGCCTATGTCAGACATGGTTGGAAAAAAACACACAACAAAACCACTTTGTACTCTTATGTATACATATGCAAATTAAGAACAAATTGAATAAGCATCCTTCCTGAACACTTTATAATGATGCTAAAGCCTTATTTGTGTGTGGGAACAGTTTTAAACGCTAGTATGTGGTCCTAGCAGCTGTGATATCTCTAATTAATAAACGCTACATCTAGTCATTTGTGGTTCCATTTTCTTTCTTTCACCCCTTTATCTTCAGCCTGTCTTTTAGCTTAACAGTCATGTTAAAGTGGTTGTTCAATCAAAAATGACATGTTTCATGATTACAAGTGTTTTACAAAGTCAAGAACATTTATTCTGTGCTCTCCTAACCAAAGATTAATGCAACATGAGAAATATTCTATTATATGTAAAAAATAATCAACAATATTCTATTATATGTAAAAAATAATCAACATCATAATATCTTTGGTCCAGAAATTTTTCCTAACACAGATTTATTGGAAATTTGACACTAAATTAAAATGCTATACTTTATTTCCCTGCGCAGCCCATACTGATATCAACAAATACAGCTTTGAAATGCATTCAGATGACTTCTTTTTCCAGTTATAAGATGAAATTTCAGGGAAAAAAGCAAAAAAAAGAAACCACTCCACAAATATTAGGTCAGCAGTACTTTAAAGATGGGATACCACAGGCTGCTGTTAAGTTCATGGCCATGCTCACTCCCAGTTTTGTGTGCAATCACGTAGCCCTGTAAAAGTCTATTGATGTTGCTAGTAACAGGCCATATGCTTTGTACTGATTCTGCAAGGCCTCAGGACTGAGGCTGGTCACAGACTTCTTCTGTCTCAGTTTTCTTGACCTGCCTGCAGCTTTGTTTTTCCTGATTTAGCTGTGACAGCAATTCCTCTAACTGCCAAGCTGTCTATGGCTAATTTGTTCTAACTATTATTGTTCCTTGTATGGCATGGCAACATTTTTGACATTGGTAGTAACAAGCAGAGATCCTATGTAGCATTAGATATTATTCTGACATATCATATAGAGAAGCACAAGTCTGGTACAACAGCAGAAGCTTTGCAAAATGGAGACACAGGATGTGGCATAGTGGGTTGAGAGATGAGACATAGGCTTGCTACTGGAGGGCCCACAGAAATAAACAAGTAGTCAGTTAAAAAATGAAGACTTGTAGCTGGAAATAAAATCTGATTTTAGATAACCAAAAATGGTGTGCAACATGCACAAAGGCATCTAAAGTATCTATATATTAAATTTGGGTGTAACCTGGAGCTGCAGACAAATGAAGAAAAAGCAAGATATAAGCATATGTTAGCAAACATAAAAATGACCACAAGTGGATCCTAGAGTGAGAAAGAAACAACAAACATGAACTAGCAGGACACATTCTTCCTGGCAAAGGACACTGGATGCTGACAACTCCCCACAACTCACAATGAACCATGAGAATTGATATTAACACCAAAAGTAGCTGAGGAAGGATGAGCATAGTATCAGAAAAAAACCCCAGAAACTAAGTGTGTGTATTACAATTTATGTTGTATTACTAAAACTTTTTTTTACTGTATTCTAATTGTATTATTATTCTTTTTCTGTAGCAGTTAGATCTAGATTAATAATGTTTCTTGAATTACATTATCCAGATTTCATGGATACTAATAATAGTTTCTTGGATTTATATGTAAAGCATGTTTCTTCTTTACCTATAAAGAAGATTTTGTCAGTATTGGCCTGATGTTGTGTCATCACATTTCTCAGCTGGATGAAAATTCAGGAAATTCAGACTGCAGTAAAAGTGTGCTCAGGAAACTAGAACAGTAAGAACAATGAAATGGAAACTACACAGGCAAATAAAGGGGGAAAAAAAATTGTGGGAAGCCCCAACCATTGCCAAGACTTAATTTTTTTCACAAAATTTCCTGTTTCCATATATACTGTGTTATTCTTTTTTTATACTACCAACAACATTTGAGTTAATGTTAAAAGGGACCTTCTCAGAACTGATAAATCAAAACTATGTCTATCATTTATTCTAGTTAGGAGCACTAACATAAGTTTTCTTTCTCCTCACACTCATGATCTGATCATAATATTACTTTGAGCACTGAAATAGGCATTATTTTTTTCTGTGGGAGTAAAAGACAAACAGAAGAGAGAATTGGTCAAACAGTCACTACAATGTAATTCAGTGCTTTTCGTACAACATTGACAAGTGACCTTGTTGATAAATGGGAGGTTTAATATGTCGGCAATCTAAAGCAGGTTGATGTGGATTGAAAAAAGCTGATCATTGCTTGGAAATGCTTTTTCCTTTTAAAATATGTTCAAATCTCTAGCTGACTGATTCAGTCCTTTTTTTTTTTCTTCCTTTTTTTTTTTTTTTTTTTTCCAGTGCTCACAGACAAAAATGTCATTGCCATCAACCAAAGATTTTTGTCACTGAACCTACCAGTATCAATATTTCATAATATCCAGGATATGCTAAAAAAGTACCTAGAGAAGGAAGACTGATTTTTCATCACATTTATTTCCTGTCAGACTGCTAGACACACCCAATTTGTCCCCAAGAAAAATCCGTTTCACTCCTTTTCACCTCAAAGCTTTTGGCAGTACTGTAAAACAGCTTCAGCATCATCTCTTGTACTTGAAGTCTGTGTATGAAACTTTGTGCTGTAGGCGGTGAACTGTTTCACAGACTATACAAGACTAGAAGTGCAATTTCCTGAATTATTTCTATAGTGAGGTCAATAATGTTTCATTATTTAAAAACTATCTTGCTGAAAAGACCATAAGAAAGTGAGAAGCCACCACTGTCTTACCTAAGCCTTTTGCTAGAACTCTACGGAGGCAAAGATGATGGTGCTTAAATTTAAAGCAATTTAAAGACATTTTTTCTTTCTTAAATCTCAATTTTGCTTACAACCTTGTCCAGAATAATGGGAAAATGAATTAAATTTACTGGTGGTGAACAAGCTATTTTTTCCCTCTCAATAAACATACTTCCATTGGCTTAACACAAGACAAAAAACAACTCAGTGTAGACAAAGGGAGTTACAGGCATTCTCAGAAAATACACAGTTCCATGATCCTAAAGAAAACTTGTATTTCCTTTTCCTCGCTGATGTGGTCGCTAGCTGTCGCAGTTGCACACTTCTACCCTCCTGCACTAACACCTTCTCATTACCGGAGAACCGTTAGGCGTTAGGCAACGTTGACTGAACTGCTGTTACTCTTGGGCACAGTCTGCAGGTGCTTCCACACAGGTCCTGACTGCACCAGTAAGGGTGGGCACAGTGCTGAAGGCTTGCCTGGTTCTTTTGCAAACAGGAAACTCCCAAAGGTCATTCCAACTTCATAGATCCTTCTTTCCCAGACTAAAGCTACCTAAGGTATCCCTTAATCTACCACATGTTCATACAGTGCTCCAACCAGAAAATTTTTATCTCTGTAAAGTAAGGAAGTTTTGTAAACTCATTTCTGTAAAATTAAAAGTAGAAAAAAGTAAAACCAAAGGCCTTGTTTGAGGCCTTTAGGCCCTGTGTTATTTCTTTTTTTCTCTCTACTAGATTCAGCAAGGTACTTCCTCCAGAGAGGTCTTG